AACCGGCCCTGAAAGGCTCAGGCCCGGTTGCAACAACTACTTGTAACCAAACCGTCAGTTAAGAAAAAATTTTAATTTAGATGTTCGATGGATTAATTTTACCAGGGGAGTATATCAAATTTATCCCGGGAACAAAAAATGATAATTTATCCTGAAGTTAAACGCGTGTTGACTTAACTGGGGTGACCTGATAAATAAAAAATTATTCATTGGGTCAAATATCAAGAAATTATAACCCCTAGGATATAATTTATCCTGAGGATAAATTTTATCCTGAGGTTTATTTGGTTATCAGGGCTTTGTGTAACCGGCCCTAAAAATAATTTAGAAAGTTATATAACTTACCTCCAATCGAAGAAGTTGTGAGAAATTGAGAAAATTCACTGTTTCCGGTAAAATTTGCCACGTGTTTAGCAAAGATTTTTAAACGATTGCGAGACACGACACGTACTATAAGTGCATGAATTATTTTATAGGTTATATTCGATCGATATCGAGCCAGCTAATGATGGTGATATATCTCGGCTGATAATATTCTGTTTTATCATATGTTGATTTCATAATGGAATTACATGCAGGGATGAAAAACATTTTTCGTCTTTCTTATGAATAAAAAATTGCTGGAACGTAAAGGAAAATAAAAGTATAAATGAAAAATGAAGATACGATCAAAATGAATATTTTTCTTTTTTTTATTACAAACTATTACAAAATTACAATACAAAATATCATCACATGTCCATAACCAATGACAGCTTTCCAATTTTTTGGCAATTACATTATTTTAATTAAATGCCTATGTGATTTTTGATACTTGAAACCTCATTCATCTTGAAATGAAGAATTACCGTGTGGTTATTTCAAAATGTTTATCACTTGAAATATTAATTTGGCTTTAGCCCATAGTCTTTTTTTATTATTGGCTTCAGCCCATAGTCTGTTTACTGACAAACAAATAACAAATAAATAATATTAATAGTGCTGCAATATCCATTTTATTTGTAACGTAGATATTTGCAGCTCGACTCGTCTTATACATAATAACGACTTTATTCTTTGTAGAAAGCAGGCACTTCGAGTTTCATTCATTTTATACGTAAAAAAAATCATTCCTTTGATAATTAAAATATAATCATTGACATTTTCAACTTAGCTTTAGCCAACAGTCATTTCGTCAATGGGCAGTAAGTACAAACAACCGGCAATATTTCGATGAATTTTTTGTATTTTATTTTTCGTTTTTAATTTTTTTTTGTATTTTTCATTTTTTTTTAATGGGTTTAAGTCACACCCAAAGTTAAATTGAAGCTAACTTTCTCATAATAGGTCATGTGCGTATAAGTCTCATCGTCTTTAAATGACAAAACTACCATTTGGTATTATCAAAACGGTTATCACTTAAAATATCAAATATGGCTTTATTCTATTTTTTTTGCCACCGAACAACAAATAAAGACTATAAATAGTGTTTTGATATCATTTTTGCTATCAATGTAAATATTTTCAACTTGACTTTATAAATAATACTTTCTTCTTAGTAGAACACAGTCACGTCGAGTTTCACTTATTTTATATCGCAGAATCATTTTTTTGATAATAATGAAAACATGCTGTTTGAAATTCAGCTATTCAAACTAGTCAAACGGTCACCGGGCTCAACGAAAATCTCGAGAAACTTCGGGACCCTTCGGGGTCACAGTCAACTACGAAGAAAATCCCCGAGAAAGACGGTAGTATCGCTCTAGCCACCGAGAGAGTCACTCTAATCACAGTACTGTATCGCCGTAACCGCTCAATCGAGTACATCACCGGAGTACATCAACGCGATACATTTGAGTCTAGCGCTTTGTATAGCGTCTCTATTTAATTCAATTCAATTATCAATTAATTACGAGTTAACTACCAATTATTTTGAGTCAATCATCAAGTTCAATATCGAGAGAATCTCAAGTGCAGTGCATTTTTCAAACCATCATTTTTATTGACTTTGTCGAGCAACTCAATAGTGTAACCTTATTAATTTATCAAGACGCGTGGGTTATTCCACAATAAAGTACATCAACAGTGTGGTTTTATAATTCCGCGTGTTTTAATTTTCCACCTCCTTTCACAATCCCACTTTTCCCTGTAATGTCCAAAAATCTATGAAATAGCTTTCCTTCACAATCTCCCGATTATTCTCCCTATCCAATGCCACATCGTCAACCGAGAACCCGAAAAAGTGCAGCATCAACAAATAACATATTCCAACATAAGGCTAGTGGACTCGTGATTTCAACAGAGTAACACCCCGCAGGTGAAGAATCGCCAGTGCGAAATCCAGCGCGCCTAAAACCGCTGACCCAACAGGTCAATTCCCCCCAAGCATAAAAAGTGGGAAAATAACGCCATAATTTCCACCAATCAAAAGCAAAATCGTGTATCGACCAAGAACCGATTCACTCCCCAAAATCAAAATTACAACCAGTCTAGAAGCAACCGTCGGAGCGTTAATTTGACTTGGTGGAAATTACTGACGGAATCGATCTGTCTCTTTCGGTCCCCGCTACTCATAACTCGCCTGGAAAACGGTTATCGGGAGTGGTAGTTATTGAACATAGTTCATAGCTGAGTGAAAGAAAGTCGCGCAGGGATACTGCATCCTAAAATCGAGAGTAGTAGTGTTTCTTGCATTGTAAGAGGACTAATTAACTAGGCTTCCGTGATTGTGGACATTCTCACTTAAAAACACTTTTCCGAACTTTGTTAAATTGTACACGAGTGGGTGAAAGTGATCCAATAGGAAGTATCCATAATAGGATCAGAGAAAACTCTAATTCTGGTGGAGAAAAACCTTTGTGTCATTGAAGGATCCACAACTAGAAATATAAGGATTACTACTAAAACCATCATCAACTGTAAGTTCAATTATCAATAACCTTCAACCATTTTGAAAACCAAAGTAATCCACTATCAGACTTGGTAAAAAGACTTTCCAGGGATAAAATATTAACTTAATATCAATTTCAAAATTCAACAATTCAAACACGATTCAAATTGTAAATTTTTCATTTGTAATTATCAAAAAAGTCGAAATTATAGAAGACTACTTTTGAACATAAAAATTGTCTCGGAGTCATTTGACTATTTCCTTACTTCAAATATTCCTCATCCTTTCAGTATCCCAATTTCGATTCTCAAAATTAGTAACGTAAACCAAGGTAAGAGAGATAAATTACACCTAGCGTCGTTCAATATAAATCAAAATATAAAAGTATCTGGCTTAACAATTCCTTTCTAAATTTAGCTTTCCCATATTTTTATATCAAAAATTCTAGATTGTTATTTTCCCGTAATTTACAATTCTACCCAAAAAGTGTCCTTCGACGCTGACACGTCTCCGGACATAACAGCTAGAATTTCATGGCGCAGTCGGTAGGACGATCTAGGCTTCCTTTCACTCTTACCGCCTAATAATAATAAGGAATTTACTCGGTTCACATATAAATTCTTCAAGTTCGGTTTATACAACAAAGTTCGTTTTGAATGTCGGTATTTTCATAATATCGCATAATATCGGGAAAAACTTCTTCACTTTCCCTTTTCTTTTCCTTTTTTTTTGTTTTTGTAGTATTTAAACTTTTCCAAAATTCTACTCTCAAGAGTATTCCCAGACTTACTCTAGAATTATCCCATAATGGCAAACTCTTCTATAAATATTGGTTATACCGGCGATTCAAATATCGCCGGGCAAATCACTGGGAATCATGAAGATTACATCAAAGCGCGGGATATTGCTAGTAGTATACCAATTTTTTCCGGAACTTCTGAGCATGCAACCCTAGACGAATTTGAATATGCCCTTAGGTGTAATTTGTTATCAATCCCCACCGAAGATGGCAAGAAAGAGGAATATATCTTACAAGTCCTGAAACGCCTTTTGCCTCCTGCGAAATTTGCAGTCGCGAATAAGACCCTAAATTCAGTAGAAGACATCCTGAAAATCCTTGTCAAAAGATTCCGAGGTCAATATAATTTTTTGTATTATCTGAATAAAGTCCGTGGGTTAGTCAAATATACCGAAGAACCCCTGGAATGTTTTTTGGAAAGAATGGCAGCTTCGGTTCAATTTGGGTTGAGAATAGTTGAGGGTGAGCCGGAGGCCACGAGACAAGCTCTAGAAAGTTTGATGAATCAAGAGGCCTTGGCCAGATGCAAAGAATATGCATCCCCGGCAGTAAAAGACACAATTCGACGTCAGAAGATTAAGAAAATCGCTGACGTGCTGAAAGTACTTGACACTGATGAATTTCGAACAACTATGGCGCTCCCAGCCCCAGAAATACCAAATCACCACCAATTCCGGTATGTGACAGAATATCCCTCAGTCGGGATTCAGAACAACGTTTGGTCGAACACAGCGGGTAACCAGATGTCTAACGGCTACCAATACCAACAGCAACAGAGTCAGAGATACCCAGTCCATCAACAGTATCAAGGACCCTACAATACACCGTTACCCTCTACACCAACACCTACCAGAAGCTACGGAAACCCTGGATTCCAGACCGGTTACGGGCAAAGGACTCAAAAATCAAATAATGATCTGGTTGCGGCACTCCTCAACGAATATATCCCTCGAAGGCGACCTCCTGATACACCAATAAATGGGGTGTCAAGACAACACTTCCCACCACCTCCAATGTCAACCATAAATCCAGTTGTCATGGGAAGCGTCTCACCTGAAGCCTTGCTCCACCAAATGAATCTTACAGAACCATGGGGTCAAGACACAGTTGAAGATGTACCAGTGGATGCAGATCAAGTTCAGCAGCTCGCAGCGATCTTAGCGGGTACGCAACGCCAAAATGTGGAACATGTTCCTCATGTTCCTCAGAAAGAGAACAAGGATGACCTGAGCGAAATTAAGAACCTCCTTCAGAGCCTTGTGATCGAACTCAAGGACCAGAAACAACGAGCAGTGACTCTCCCTTCATCAAGGGACTCATCCCGAGAACGAGTCAAGGGGAATCACCAGCCTAAAACCACGGGGAACCCGGTTCAACAATCGTCAAAGGTACCTTCCTCAGAAGGAGTTTCAACCCAGGCTTTAAACGAGTACCTGGCTCGTCAAACGGGTGCGGTGACGAGCGACCAGGGTCAACAACAATACCACACCCTGAGGAGCACTCACCAGAGACGTCAATAAGAGAAGTAGTCCTTTGTAGTCCCAAAAGCGGCCCACAAATCCGTATAACAGGGCCCTATCTGAACAACGATGGAATTTCCGCCCTGGTTGACACGGGGGCCTCCATAAATCTCATCTCCATTCAATCCTTAAATTCCGATGTCATGGTAGATCGGACTGAGATTTGTAGAATTGTGGGGCTCTCAAACGATGTAATGGATTCCCTAGGGACAGTAAGACTACCTCTCCACCCAAAAGTATACGTTAAATTCCATGTTATAATTCACC